ACGAAAGGGACACACAAGTAGCCAAGACAACAAAGGTAATACGATATGTTTTTCGTAAATTGAAACGTCCAAGTCCCCGCCTGATATGAATATAGTGGGTGGCGCGTCGAAAATTCCAACGAATTTGGCACCGCTGGGCCCTTAAGGAGACCGCACACTGTCGGTTTTTCCTCTACCAATACTTATCACACTAAACAGAGTATGAATATTGATGAATTCATTATTTAATCAACTGACAAGGGTACATAATTAGAGAAGCATATGGGGAAGTCAGAAAATGTTTTTATTTTCTTTTGATAAAAATTAGTTTTGAAATAATGAAAACGAGTAGGGAGGTTAGGAATATCCAATTAGGTCAACTGCCATTGATTTCGTCGTGTCATAGCTATGCTGTCACCTTCAATTGTTTCACAATCTACTGTATAGTCTCATGTAAACTACGTTCATAGATTCAAGAGAACAATAACAAGATTCGATTTGCTACCATACCGAGAAGACTACCACTGAATTTAGGTACTTTAAGTAAAATCTAACATCAAGCAAAACAGTTCAAAAAGTAGCTCTAAGATATAAAAATGTACCTGTAATATAAATAAATAAATATTTATTTGCTTTTCCTAAAAAAATGATTTGGTATCAAAAGTAAATATTAGATTTTTTTTGATCGTTTTTTATTATTGGCATAAATACATCTTTTCTAAGAAGAAAATTTGGTGTAAATAAGTTTCTGGGTATGATAAATAAGTTTGTTGATTAATTTTTGACCTAGAAGCCGCTAGCTGACATTTTTCCCAACGATATATGACATAACTTTTCTTAATTTTTTTACATTGCATATCTTGTATTGTAATGTAATTCATTGCACACAAAAAACGTCTTGTTTAAATCACCAAAACTCGTCGTTTTTTGAGAAAAATTCAACTGACTGTCCTAAAGTCTAGAAATGCCTAAATCCTGTTCAGCAGCACGCACTGATAATTCAGGGTAAGCATGAAAATATACCAAAACATTGACTGTGTTACCTTCAAAGTTATCGGCTTTGACAAAATTCTATGTGCAGAAATTCGACCATGTTCTAATTGATTTCTTAAAATTCTTCGTAAAATGCGTCTATTCGTTGGTGGTAAACGAGGATATCTCTCATTAAATACCCTGCAAGTCCTATTGTGACACTCTTCATGAATAGATAATAAATTTAGAATGTCGGCATTTGAATAAATGTTAACGTTTTCCATTCTTTAACAATAAATAATACTCAAATAAATATTCACTGTATGTGTTAAATTGACAACAATAAACTGGTGATAGATTAGGTGCTTGTTTTGAAGTTCCACTAAAAATTTCACAGCCATCCTCGCAAGAAATTATGC